GTCCAACTTCGCGATTAGGCTACGGCGCTACGACCGACTTGCAAAGTAGGGAATTTGAAGGGTTTAGGGGTTTAAGGTCCAGGGCCTTGTTGACTTCATATCTGGAATCGAAAGTTTTTCTCCGGCTGAACACGACAAAAACACAGACATCGTGAGGCTTCCGATTCCTTCCTCTACGTAGGTTTCTCGATGACAGAGGACTAGAACCCAGGGCCCCAAAGCCCACAACACTACCCCGAAACACCCCCAATCTCTAAACTTAACCCCACAGCGGTTTCGGTGATGGCTCTCGACATCTGGAGGGGGTCCTTCACATTTCTGAACCCCTCTGATTCGGAGAAGCTTCAGGGCTCAAACGTTTAAGGCAGCATGCAATCTTTCCATCCATCCATAAAGACATACAAAGCAGACTATACATGTTTATACATGCATGTATGTGTATATGTATATACGTATGTGTTTACATACACACAACAGATGGTGCATTGTATCAGAATGTCCTGATGCATGCTTAATTAGCAACAATTTCTGTCATCACGCGAACAGCTAAGCTACTTCACTGACTTGGTCAGCTGCCCAAAACTCCGCAATCCCAAGACACAGGACTTTGCAGACACCCAGACATCAACAAGCTATGGAATCGACAAATTAAGTATACACTTGGCAATCAGCCCTCCTGATGCAGTGGAGGAAATCGAGTCGTTGTCCATGTCCAGAGAGGACTCTGTCGAGCGTCTCAGCGTGTCCTTTCCGAATGTAAATGTTCAGTTGAGGGTTGAAGCTCAAGAGCAGTCTCCGCGCACAAAGATTTTTACAGTTCGATTCTGGTAGACCGGCCTTTGTGAAAGCATAGTCCACGATGTTTGAAGAGTGCGTACCAATGGTTTTTCCTTCGCACTAGTCCTGAAACCGAAGCTCCAAGCCCTCAAACAAACCACCCAAACCAGCAGTGCAGTCTCAACTGCACACAAATGAAATTAAACTCGTGCGATGACAAACGATAGGTTACGAAAACCCCGAGACTCTGCAGCTTAAATATCCTAGAAGCAAGCTTTGCCAAGAATCCTCGAACAGGTCGTTTCCGATAGACTGCTCGGAGCTGGCAGGGACCAAAAGACCCGGTGAATCTGTGAAGTCGCGGATGCCAACGAGGTGGCAGTACTGCCTCACAGCTGCAAAAACAAGGGCATTGATTATTTAAACAGGGTTTTGGGCCAATGCTAGTAAGATGACTAAAGGACAACATTAACCATTGAGCCCGTTATGGTATTTCTCAAGCTTGCAGACCCCTAGGCCCTATATAGGGTTTCGTCTAGGTGTCGAAAGTTACGAAGCTTCTATCCTTAAAGCCGTCTTATATTGGAAGGACTGACCACAGCACACTACTCTTGGTCGATTTTAGGTCAAGCCTTTTGCTTCCAAAACTCGGTTTAAGGGTTTAGGGTTTTGGGCAGCAAAGATTTCTTGATACATCCAACTGCTCGGTGTTAGACGACGCATGGCATCCCTCAACGCACAGGTCTGAAACCTGACGCCCCAATCTCAAATGCGACCCACCTACGGCTGAAAGCGATGTGCAAGCCTTCACGTCAATGTGATTCCTGCATTCGGGATTCTCATCTGCCAGAGAATGTAAGACACCGCGAAGCAGCAGCCTCTAGCACGATGGCCTGCCTTCATGTAAGTTGTCTCTACAATCACAACTCAACTTCTGCTGATACCTCTTACCGACTGGGTTTTCGTCCTGGTCGCTGTTGAGTACGCAGTCGTAGTAGCACTATTAACATTAGTAGCAGTTGTAGGAGCAGGAGCAGGATGAAGAGGAGCAGGAAGAGGAGCAGGGGGACCAGTACTAGCCATTGCTGTTAGCGTCACTATATCTGCTGCTGCAGGTGCTGGTGTTGCTGCTACTGCTGCTGCTGTTGCTGTTGTTGTACACACATGAACGGATCCGTGCTCGAACTTTCTAGTGTCATGAACTGCCCCAAATCCTTTAACTAAGAATCCCGAAAAACTGTTACGAATGAAAACCAAGGGGTGACTGGGTCACCGGCCCATCGGTCTTCGTGTATTGCACCTGTTCAGGACGATTCTGCGCTGACATCGAGCTTAAAAGGTTAGAACTCGGAAATGGAGGGTTTAGGCTTTCGGGGTGTGTGAGTAAGCTGGTGTGGCTTAGAGATTCATGGGTTCTAGGGCCGTTTGTACTATGCTCGCAAGACAGGCCCTTCCAGGTCCCTGTGCCTGCAACCGTCGATGTGCCTCTCTGGGCAATCATGTAAGGGCTCAGACTCATCAGGGTTTTCATTTCGTCTTTTGGCGAAGGTACGAGCTAAAGAATCGTTTGGAACTCACTCGGCTACCAGCTGCATAGAAGCCTCCAGGCACCACGGTGATTCTGCTTGACTTGAACCCAAGTGCTTGGAGGCATGCCAGAATTCTCAAGATAATTTCAAGCTGTTGCGCTGTCGGCCGGGGGCTTTGATGACTGGCAGAAGAATAACAATCAACTTGTATGAAGTTTTAACAACATTTACAATTCAGGGATGGGAGAGCTGTGCGAGATGACAGCATCACTACTAACCTTCAATTCCAGCCAAAGAGCCCTCATCCCCAATTTGGGTTTCCGGGTTAGGGCATAAATCTTCGCGACACCGTTGCACGCACCCCACGAACTTGAGGATTAACGTTCGGCCGAGTGGTTCGCCCATTGTGGCATATCTTCCAAGATCTCCGCCGTTAGCATTAATCGCCAACAATGACATACACGCATGTTGGAAAGGAGGAAACCCTCAAACCATATAGGGCGGATACAAAAGTCTGCAGAGTTAGTGATACCATCCCGTCTATGACATCCTCAAGCCTGGAACATCTCGATGCACAGCTTACTCGAACAGCTGTCCACGAGGCGGGTGTGGAAAGCCTCTCGTCAGGCACATGAAAAAGATTGGGGCATTAAGGCTGGGGGCTGTCTTGTTATGAGTTATGAGGTTACTAGCTTAGGGCTTTAGGGGCCTGAAGGTGCTCAGCGCATCGGGTTAATTTCCCCGTGCATGTGCTACATCTACGGAATATACCATAGTTTTCATGGAGGGGTTTATTTGCTGGCGGTCGCTGTGTTCACGGAAAGTGTCTAATAAGATATGGCGCTGTAAATACAAACTTTTCTTGTATGTAAAATACATGTATGTTTATTTCTGTATACGCATGTGTGTGTGTGAAATACCTATGTGTATATGTATGTGCTTTTGTGTGTGTGTTTATGTATGTCTACACATATGGCACACAAGTACATATGCATTTATGCTTGAACATGTAAACATACACCCCCCTCATATGCTCATAAACACAACAGGGCATCTGTCCATGGCAGCCACCAGACCGTCTTGCGGGTTCGGCTTCGGAAGCGTTCGGCCTCGCCTTTGGCAAGTGGGCTCCGGAAGCTGAAAACCCCCGGCGCACATCAATCCTCTATACACATCCCTACACTTTAGGGTTGCGGGTTGAGGGGCATCGAACCCAAAACTTTTATTCTTGAGATCTGCCATCTCAAGTCCCGCTTCCGATGCCGCAGGCGGGTAGCATGGACGTCAGCGCCGAGGACACAACACTTATTGTGAACGGCCTGCAGCTGGCTAGGAGGTAAAGATTCGTGCCACCCCACCAGCCAGTTTTAACTGGTAGGAGAAGAACGGCATAGCAACACAATGCAACGCCCGCACTCCCAGACACAATGCCGAGCCGTGCAAACTGTGGGTAGGAAGGTTGGGCACAGCAGCGACTTTGTAACCGCACATCCTGACCTGCTTTCCCAAAAGACAGCTCCTCAAAAATATCCTTTCAACCAGTCCTAGACCCCAAACTTGCCCAAGACCCGACAACCTTTGCGGCTGTCTTTGCCCGTGCATTCATCGTGGAGTTCAACGCAATCCTGCCGACTTGTTGACCAATTAACAAGACTGCCAGCTCCGACAATGCCCTTCGCAGACGCACCAAGATCCCCCAGCACTGAACGAAAACGAGATAGCTATGATGCTATCCATGTCCATGATAACGTGCTGCGTATGATGCGTTCGGAAAGGATGAACAGTCGTGCCTCTGGGATCACATGCCCTTTTGGCCAGTTAATTGGCCGGCAAATGCCCATTGTAGAGTCGCACCGCGCTCCAGTTTCAAGCCAGGACTTCCATGGCCAGACAGTGTTGATTTCTCTTGGTGTACACTCATGAAGCCGAGGCAGAATGCAGTTATCCTCCACTCCTGGCCCAGCGACTGCTTCTGTGCTGCACCCCACCCCAAAGCCAGAGCATTGTGGCCAGGAAGAGCTCTGTCGGCTCTGCACTGGACAAGAGGCCAGCTGGGTCAACGTGACCAATCATTGTTGCTATGCGGGCGGTGGGCGCGCGACAGCTTCAAGTGCAGCGACATCTTGTTCCGAAAGCAGAGCGCTTCAAGTGTCCCGACGGTCAAGGAGCAGCCGAGCCAGAACAAAGTTTATGCGCTGAAAGGAAGCAAGCGCCTCGACCTATGTGCGATCGGTCCAGGGCCTTAATAGAAAATCAAGGCTACGGGTATGGGCTGTGGTGCAGTGGTGGGGATCTCTCGGCTGATAGGGCTGTGTAGAGTCTAAAGGTTTGGGGGTGCTTTGGGCACCAACCTGGCACCACAGCCAGCTTGCAGCAGCAGTGTTTCACGGGATGTTGGGATGGTGGCGGGCATAACTCTGTGGCATGTGATGCCGGAATGTGCCCTGGGCTCACAATGCTTTGCACGTGGTTCCAAATGCGTGCTACACGTTTCTTGGATGTGCCTTCTGTGATATCTGCACAACTGATGAATGACCCTCCAAAGCGAAGTGTTTGTGACTATGTCATGATTTTTTCCAAAGCACCACTCCCTCAGACTGTTTTGGGCTGGACTCCCACATGCCGTGGCATGACCTCAATACATGCACTCCCGGGGCAACTAACTGCTTGAGGCAACTCGGGCAGGAAGGCGGGACATCGCCCGACAAGCTGTCAATATGCACCCATGTCCTTGGTCCAAGCCAACTCACACACTCACTTTGTTTGTTCACCCTCAATCTTTCTTCGCCACCCGACCCTCATTAGGGCAGCGAGCTGCTGACAAGTCCAGGGGCAGACTCCTCGCCCAGAACAGGCCAAACCACCAATCACGAATTACATGGGCTTGCTGGCCTGACGCTGACGGATGCAGGCTGAGATTCAACGGGCCTGTCGGGTTATAGGGTTCAGCCTTAGGCTTTGGACTGAATTTCTTAAACCACCAGGGATGGCCGTAGCTGTGACAAACCAAGACGCTGGAATCTACTGTGGTGCACCACCTGTATCCGCACCCCATTTGGCGAAACTTTCCCCGTGTCTTTGCAAATAAACTCAACTCCACAGGTTTCCCAAATCAAGCACTCCTGTCAGATTTGCTGCAATCTCGCGAATCAAGTTTGCGCTCTACTGTTACAGCATGTCGCGCGAATGCAACCTCCAGAAAAAGAGGAGGCAGGCCTTGAACACATAATTTGGAATGGTAGGCGACCGGGACTAATTCATGAAAGTCAAACGGGCTCCTGCACTTGTATGGGATCCATCCAGCCCGGGGCAATACGAGGCTCACATGACTAGCCAGCTTTGCTGCTACACACATGAGGCCAGTGAGCCGCTTGAAGGACGTCTCACGCGCACAAATGCTCGAGAGATGTTTCTGGCGCACGCGGACGATAAACTTAAACTACGATCAGTCCATCACAGCTTTGGGTGCTAAGCAAAGTTGCTGCAACGGCCTTGGCTCGTGGGCCCGTGCAGGACCCCAAAATCTCCCAACATCGCAACTGCCGCCGAGCCTGCAACCCCACCACGACCACGTGCTCCACAGAGGACAGGACGTCCATATCCCAGCCTGATGGCTTGACCTCAGGTCTGCGGGATAAGCAGCAGGTCGGCAAATGGTGCGGCCACCAAACTGCTACGAGCGCATCTGTCGGTGAGAATACGTATCTCCTAGAGCGATGTTGCCTATCTGGTCGCCGAGCGATTGAGCGATTGTTGCAGGTCACGCCGCCAAGTGGTAACACAGCAGGCAACACTTCGTGCCCTGTGATGTTCGCCTAACACGTGACGTTCACAAGCGCTTCCAGACATGGCAGACAACTGCAGCAAAGCGACCAAAAAGCAAAACCCACAGCTGAGCAGCTAAGAAAGGACCATAAAGAACCCAAATTGAGCCGGAAGGCCACAGCAAGGGCTGTCACGCACTTTTCTGTCATGTTGAGCGAAGGGGACGAGGAAGGTGCCACGCTACGAATGCGAGTGCGCTTTGGCACATGCTATCAACAACTCTTCTGTGGGCGATGGTGGTGCAGCGATTGGCCTTCTGTGCCGACCGACACATGCGCCCAGGGTTCGGCGGCCCGGCACGTCGACCCATTCAAGGACAATGTCGTCTTCATGAGGGCAACAAGCTTTGTGCAGAGCTTTTGCTCGTTGTCAGACAGCATGTGCTGCTTGCACATAGCTCAAAATTTGCCGCTGCGCTAGCGTTTTTGACACTGAGAACTCATTGAGACTCGGCAAGGCGCAGTGTTGGTGTCATGGGAACGGTGACCAGACCGAGGCCCAGGGCTTTGATGGGCGAGCCACAGAGATGTAGGCTGCGCACAAGGTGAGACACTCGAAGCTCAACCAGAAATAGCTCTGGACAACTGCGCCTGACATAACATACTGGCGCAATCAGGGCATCCCTTGGCCCAAAAAGCAATGGTGACAAAATACTTTCATCACTGCTGGACATTGGAACACTACCTTCTCAGAAACTCGAGTCGGACCCTTGAATCGTGCCAACTCGGGTGAGTCAGTTACCCACGAAAACCACATCGAGCAAGCTGCTCAAAGATCTTCACGCTCTTTAGGGTTTCCTGGCTCCAATTGCATAGGGACTATATGGAGATACCCATGTTCCTAATCATTCAAACCCCTACGACAAAAACCTTCAGCTGTCTCGCTAGGCCCGCAATCTACAAGGACGAATCAAAGGGAGCACTCTCACTAATCACCTTGACCCCCAGTGGAACCTGCGCAGGTTCCGGGTCATTCTCGGAGAAGCGACGGAGATTCTCTTCGGCTCGGTGGGCCTCGGTGTTACGGTTTGTGACTGCCGGTGTTAAAGTAAGTACATGTGATTGCATGAGTGCTTCACGGCTAAAGTCTCGGAAGTGATGCATACTTCGAGCTTTGGAGCCCAGTTTTAAAGGGCATAAAGCTATTTTCGGAAAGGTTCTGAATCAAAAGCAATACTTGGGGAGAGCGTTGTGGCAGTGTCCCGGTGGTCTCGTGGTCGTCTCCTCGTATTCTCCTGGCTGTCGTGGTCGCAGTGGTGGTCCTGGTGGTCCTAGTAGTCGGTGTCGTCATCGTCGTCATGGTCTTTCACTTCTATCGATCTACGTCGGCAGAGGGTGAGTGCAGCCAGACAGCGAATATTCATCAAGGAAGTCGTATTACTCAGTCTTCAGCCGAGCTGTTACACTGAAGTACATCCCAGGTTTGAGAGCTTGGGTGCCAGCTTCTGCCTTGGACATGGATGGTTGAGGACTTTACTTGGGGGCTTTGGGATTTGGACTGAACAGGTCTTGGGCGATTTGGGGCTGAGGCTCGCGGCTCAGCCCATGTTGAATCATCCGAAAATGTACTGGCATCTTGAATTTGCGCCTGTGCCCATCTGTCCCAGCATTCCCGGGACTCTCCGGCCTCGACCCAAGCGGCCGAACTTGTGCAATGAGCCCCCAAATCTTAGGCTCCTAAGTCGAGTTTGTGAGCGCGCACCTCCATGGGAGGCATGAGATCCGTCAGCTTTGTGCCATCGAGGTTGCCTCAGCTACGGCTTAGGGCTTAAGGCTAAGCACTCCGGGCTTTTGCCCCTAGGCAATTAGTAAATTTGGGCCTACCACGGCAACCAGATTTCAAGATCCTCTAGCTTGAACAAGCCCAAGCCGTCACTGGCAGATTGAAAACTTTCAATGCAGTGAGTACAAGAACCCTTTAGATCGTAGCTTTTGCGATAGAGCCAGTATCTTGTTCAACAGACGTGCTTTCAAGCCAAATCGAATTGTACTTGATATGTCAAAACCCATTCCGAGTGTTAAGGCTGCTATCTGTTCCCTTTCATCCCCAGTCCCTGCAGAATATCGGCCTTAGCCTTGAGGGTTTTGGGGTTTAGTGCTCAGGTGTTAATGAGTTCCATTGTTAGAGGGTAAGTATACTTGAATTATGATGTGCATCCTGAAGCTATACTTAGCATTAGTGGTGAGTCAGACCTCTCTATTGCACCCTTGCTGCGGCTCGAAGATGCTCAGACTTCACATGGCGGGGTACAGCACCCAAAGCCCCAAAACCTTCAGGTAAGTTGGCTTTGAGGATTTGGGTCGAGTTGGCCTATGGGTTTCGGGTGCAAAACGGCCACTCCAAACACCACACCCTACATCCCCTTTGCTTTGCACGCTTGCCTGACAGACCTTGCTATAAAATCTTGGTGCCGACGCTCCCAAGCCGAAGAGAGACTTCTCTTGGAATGGGAATTGATGACTCTCTTTCTTGGATCATAGTGAGTGTCCAGACGATTCCCGCAGCTAGTGAATCGTGAGCTGGCGACCTTGAACCGCGACCCTCATGAAATTACGCAGAACAAAGAGCCAAGACCAATCAACCCACCGATCCTCACACCCTTGGCCAGACACACTACGCCCTAAACCCTAACTGGCACCAACTCCCCCCAAATCGCCGAGGAAGATGCACGGGCCGCCCTTCAGCAGCATGGCGGCAAGCTCCTGTGTGGCGAGTCGAACAAGCCCCACAAGTCCTGGAAGTCCTGAGGCCGGTAGACCCTCTACACCCTACCGCAGCCCCTCAGCCGGTAAACCCTAGCTTCAAGCCCTAAACCAACCCTAAATTGTAAACCCGCAAAACGGGCTTCGGATGACGTAGGCTTCTAGCTGGAAGCTCGGCTGCAGGCTCTAAAGCCTGCTCTTGTTGTTATTTAGGGGTTCATGTCTGGTCGGTTCGGGGATTTCGCGACTTGGAGCTCCATCGCGATGGCATCGATGGAAATAGCTAACGATACCACGACGATGGGTTTCGTGATGAGAACGAGGCTTACGACGCAGTGATAATGATAATGCTGTTCGTAGGATTGACAGGGTTGAACCGGAAAGATTCGGAGGTGCACGTTCAAGGCCAAGGCCCCTGCACTCTATTCTCAAAGCCCTGAAACCCAAACAGCTGCAACGCCTAATTGTATTTGGCCACGGACCTAGGATTCACGGTTCAAGGCTCAGGGATCAGCAACCCTGATCAAACTCGAAGATTCCAAACAAGCCGAACCCCTCGGCTCCGGCGAGTGCTTTGTGAGGCGAAGGTCATTGTCCACTTCCACCACGGCGTCGCAGGTGAGCCTCGCAAGACACACTGTTCTGATACTGGTAGCTGCGAGTCTGGTAGTGGAGCCCTGAAGCCAACATCAAGCTTTCGGATGCGGAGGACTACTGAGAAAAAGAATCAAGAAAGCAAAAATGCCTTCTGGTTCTTGGTGTAACCAGGCTAAGGCGAGGTCTGCGAGTCTCGAGGCAGGGGTTCCTTGACGATATCGCTTGACGAGGGCACGAAACCTATAAGCCCTTAGTCGTAGCTCTTCTCAAGTTGAAGCTTTTGGGGTGGATCAGCGCACCGCTCGCTGGACTTGGTATGTGCAGTAGGCTGCCCTCACAGTACGCCCGTTTAGCGTTTAGAGTTTCACGGGGCTGGGATAGAACAACCCAGCCCCCCGAAACCCTAACACGGTTTATGCTCCAAACAAACATTGCCACCAATCGGGGTACGGACTTGCATATCGAAGCGACGATAAAGGCAAGGATGCAAAAAACCTAGGGGGAGAGGGACCTTCAGAGTTGGGCTCATTGCGATTAGGTGCTAGTGTCATCACATCACTGGGGCTAGCAGTAGTAAATGCAGAGACAGATTCTTCAAATTATTCAGAAGATACGTCCGCAGTCAAACGCGTTCCAAACGCCGTCGCCACTGTACACTCTGTTTGGAACTACCTGCGGCTTTGAACTCACCGTAAACCCGAAAACTCTGTGACCTGGGCCGTCGAACCCCCAAAACAAAGAAATACGCTTGGAGTTCGATACCCTCGAATTACATGGTGAGTTTCTGGTGACCTAGATCCTTCTATGGCGGGGATCCCTTGGTTTGGGACCTTATGCCCTTATGTCCACAAAAAAAGCGCCCTCTGACGTGCCCATTTCAAGCGGGAAGGGCCTTGCCTTAACAAGGACTGTGCAGCACCTCAGTCCAGGAATGCTGCGAAACGCTGAAGGCAAGCCTCGCGGAACCTGTACAGGAACCCTTGAAGTAACTAAACCTAACAACTATATGGTGTCAGCGAGGCTGAGATTCATCAGCTGAGCAACCCAAAAACTACCGGAAGAACTCAACGTCCTACTTGGAACTGCAACATTTTTGTAGCAAGCGAGACGAACACAAAACAAGGCGGAATTTTACGGAAGTGCACCAGTTTTGCAGCAAACATTAAGCCGGAAATAGCCAATGGAAGCACGGATATGAAGTCGAAAATGGAACGGCGCGAACATGGAAATCAAGCTGAACATGATGGAACATCAATTTTGCCGCAAAACCGAAGCCAAACATAACCCTCACGAACACGGACACGACGACGATCAAGGACACGTACATCAAGTCGAAGTCAGTAGTGGCACGACATTTTAATTAGGGTTGTACATCGTAGACAAGAAGGGAAAGTACAAGGTATCCCAAATGGATACCTAGTTCCGGATCCATCTCGCTTGCATTTTGCGGGTGTCCATCCTTTCCACCTTCCCTTACGTCAGTTCCGACTTTATTTCCGCCCTTTCCGGTTTTCGCTTCAAAGCGGACGATGGGTCGTTTATGGCTGGGAGCCCTTTCTCAAAGACTGAGACCCAACAGTATCATGGTTTTGGGCTTCGAGAACATGCTCGAGACCCCGGATGGGACTCAGCCCGCTGCTCAGCTGAGTATTCACATTCTTCCGCTGAATCGTCATCTCCGCCTGAAGGGAGGAATCATAGCGATTTCAGGGTTTAGGGAGTAAGGCCTACAATCAAACTTGTTCCATAAAGCTTAAACCCTAAACTCTAACAAGGCTTCATCGACTCGTTTGGGAGTTTCCGCGTCGCAGGCCCGGGTATGCGGCTTCGAGGTGTCATCTTCAAAAGAACGGCCTGAATATTCCGTTGTACCACTCCTTGCGAATTTGTGTTGTACAACGAGCACTGGGAAGAATTTGAGGGAAGGGTCGTTAAGATCATATAACGTAACACAGTACTATGCGCTAGAATGGTAGCGCAATATACCATAATACATTGTACTATAGAGCTTGGCAGCTAATCACACACTTGCTCTTTCCTGGCTGGCGATTTGGGAGATTCGGACAGTGCGTGTGGGGTGCCATTTCATTTTTGGGCTCTTCACTGTGATGCAGTCTTTAAATTCCAAACTCAGAATGGTAGGAGTTGTCGTTTTTGAAAAGACGACCCTTCAATCCCAAAGCCCTCAACCCACCCGAAATCTGAAGTTGCATGTGGGTGTACAGGAACTCAGAGGCCCTGTGCAACTGCTGGCAAAGCGCTCGGCGGGAAAGCGAGCTCTTGAGTGCGTAAGTGCAGAACAAGGTCAGTGTGAAGAGCAGACACTCCGTGGAAATGATCACGTCCCTGGGTCTCATGCGGTGAGGTGTAGGGTTCAGTTAGTTAAGGCTTCGCGGTGTGGACTTTAGGGTCTTGTGCGGAATTGGCACCGTCGGGAAGTGTAGGTTTCAAAAGAGGGTGCAGGGCTCCGCAAAACCGGTTTCCATTTGAGGAACTCGGGCCTGGGATGGCTTTGGAAACGACGAGAACGCAACCTGTCAATAGCACTCAAGGCCTTCCTTTTGAGGACTTGAGGTGTGGGGCAAAGGACGAACAAGAGGCTTAGTGTCCTTGGTGCGATTCCGCCATCTTTCCACGTGCCGCAGTGCAGCCACCCTCTTGGTACCTAGTTGTCAAGTTCGCCACTCTTCTCGAACTTCTTCTGTTTCCCAGCTACCCTGCTACGCTTAGCCAACGTGACGATGCTGATGATGGTGATCTTCGGAAGGATATCCGACACGCACGGTTCCAAAGCTGCTATTCAGTTCTCACGATCGCAAGCAAGCATCCTTCAACCACTTTCAGGCATGTCAGCACAAGTACCCTAAATCAAGATTGGCTGGGCTAATAAGTGGCCTGGGTCCCAACCCAACAAATAAGTTCGTGCCAACCTGGCCAAAAGCTCAATGTGCAACATTCCAACTTCTAGAAGAAGTTGGAAGCCTAAACTTTTAAACCTTAACCGTATCCCAAACTGCAAAAGCTTCCCCGTCTTGGAAACCTGGCGAATGCAGCGTGACGTCACTTCTGAGTATCAGCCAGAAAAGATAGCTCCCTTGCTTTGGACTGTTGCTTTAGGAAGTGCATGTTGGAATCCTGGAATACTCTGCACAGCACGTGACAGCCTGAGGGCATGATCCGAATGGCTATCTGTCTCGGTTGGCTTACACCCTTCACATTGAAGCTCCAATCCCAGGTAGCAGTTCCTGACCTATGCAACTAATGAGCCGCCCTAAACCCTATAAGCCCCTAAAACCCTAGACCCTACTCGCCAAGACTCGGTTTGAACAGCGGATTGAACTCATCCTTAGCTTTAGAGATGCTGTTCAGGGATCGCCATGACAACAAAGGTGGGTGGAGGTAGAGATGGAGCTTGCAATCGTCGTCGTAGTCGTAGTCGTCGTAGTAGTAGTAGTAGTAGTAGTAGTAGTAGTAGTAGTAGTAGTAGTAGTAGTAGTAGTAGTAGTAGTAGTAGTAGTAGTAGTAGTAGTAGGTAGTAGTAGTAGTAGTAGTAGTAGTAGTAGTAGACGTAGATGATGTAGTAATAGGAGGAGGATGATGAGCAGGAGTAGGAGTGGGAGTTTTTGTCCTCAACGATACAGATTGGTTGATTGCTTAGAGCGTAAAGTCTTTAAGATGGTATGCCGAGCGCCTCAGCGCAAAAGATACCTGCAATGCCATGGAGCACAAGCGCAAAAAAAAACGTGTACAAGTACATTTGCATTACCACGATCTTCTACGCACAGAAACCAGCTCCTGAGATCAAAGTCCCCGCTACGGGGATTGGCCGGCCGCGCTCCTCTACATGCCAAAGCCCAACCCCGAAAAGGGCGAGATTGTTTGGCAGGAGCTCAGTTTCAAGAAATCCCCCTACCGCCGCAAAACAAGCGTTTTTTGGGCCTAGGAGATTTCTAAGTCCGCTCAGTCCTCCTCCCGGGACCTGGTCGAGGCGCTGCTTCGTAGAAGGCTCTCGATGCCATCATGACGAAGAAAAAGAAGTTCAATGCGATCGCATAGACTATTCGTGTGCAGAGGATCGCACCTCGGGGGTTTTGCGAAGTAACGCACGCTTAGGCTTTGAGTAGGGCTTTTGGCCGTTTAGGGTTGAGTGAGATGTTGCGGGTTTGTGATGCAAGGTCTCAGCACAACGAGCCATCTCGGGACAAGAAAGCTGACAACAGAGTGGCATGTTGATGCGTCTTGGGCAATCAATAGCGAAAATCGTAGTAAGCCGACCCGGACGACAGTAGTACGGTAGCAGGGACGCTTGGTGATAACCGTGTCGGAAACACGGCTTGTGCGAAAACCATTTGGCTTTGGGGATTCCTTTAATGAACATGAGCGGAAGCCTGGTCGCTGAGGGGGCTACGTCTGGGATTGAGGGTTTATGGTCAGGACAGCGAAGACTCGGGACGTCACAAGCGTGTAAGTTTGCAAGACGCGCTCAGGAGACCTGTTTGGGATCCGGTGCTTCCCCCCCAAGCCATTTTGCGGTTTGCCACCCCGTGCTCCTAGCTCCTTTCGTTGCGGTCCTGGGTCATCTCCATTTTCATTGCTAGTCTGCACATTTCTAGTATGTTCGCATGAGTGCTTCTTGTGTTTATGCTTATCGAGTGCGGCTGGTTCTTCTAGTAGTTTCGGTACCTTTATGCATAATTACTATTGCTGACCGTACGACCTACTAATGCGACGATAGCGGTATGAATTTGACGCAATGCGAGACCCTGGAAGTGCAGACTATTTCCTGCCCCAACACTAGTTGCCAACTCACCATCACCTTCGTAAAATGCAATGGAAATGTTACATGGTGTTTCAATGTTTGAGCCTCGTTCACGGAAGGCTGAGTGAAGCGAACCGGAACGCTGTGTTGGTAAGGCGGATACTCTTCGAGCCACAGTGACCGCTGACATGAATTTCCAAGCTGTTATGGTTTGATGCTTGGGCGACAGATTGACAGATTCAGGCTATCTTTTAACAGCCTGGGTTTGAGAGCCATGCAGCCTGAGCGAAGCCTGAGGAGTCCATGCAGTATGAGCAACACACGCTTACAAATAACAAGCCACTACGGGCTCCACGTTTCCAGCGTTTCTTTTTGGTAAGTCGGTAACAGTTTTAACATTAGACGCTCAATTGAAGTCGGCTTGCACCCGCACTCCCTAGCCTTACTGTTCAGGACGCCCTTCCCCCTGCTTCACCTTGTGGACGGGATTGTCGTCAATCCCTGTCTTGTGGTCGCGAGGACTTCCGAGCCTAAACGCTTCGTCCCAAGCCTAAAACCACGAAGGCTCGAGTCGGCATTCTTAAACCGAAAGTCATGATTCCTGTACGACCTCTAGACTCTAACCATCACCCCGAACCCGAGACCCCGCAGCCCCATAGCACAAAAGCAACGAACGCATAAAACCCCAGAAGCACATGATGCTGAAGAGTCGGTTTCTTGGCCCGAGGCGCATGGGATACGGAAGAAAACCATAAGAAAGAAGGAGAAGGTGTAGGCCTTCAGGTTTAGAGGGTGTCAGGCTTTCACATCTAGGGTCTGAGGGCTTTTGGGTTTCAAGGTTTTGGGCTCCAATTTGGGGATACCAACAGTCGTAAACCGAACTTATGAAGATGAAAGCCTAGGCCCTGTTGAAGCCCGCGGATGCACATCTTCAACAGTGACTTAGAGGGATCCCTACCCTACACCCTAAACCGCTTCGGGTTTCGGGCATTCGGGCTTTGGGCAATTCTTCGTTCCTGGGGCAAAAGATTTCCAGTCAAGGGTCACAGGGCTCGGGGGTTTGGTCAGTTTCTGTAGGCCTCATCTGGCTGGGTGTGCCATGGAGACAGGAAGGCAGCGCCGCAAAGCATCAGCACCACATACCTCAGCAAAACAGATGTGAAGTACAGATCCAAGCCCTAAATGCAAGTTTCGGAGAAATAAGAACCTTTATCCAGGCCCCTACATCAGATACCTTCTGGGAGCAACCCCCATAGCCTAAATCCCAAAACCCTACGTCATCACCTGGATGGTCTGCAGTGATTTATTCGACCCAGAACCCCAATTAACTCCTGCATCCATGAACATACTAGGTCGCTATCGTAAGAAGATACCTACTCACCTACTCCAAGAAGCATCGCATCACGGAGCATCCTACGAGAGAAAAGCAAAACATCTGACGTACATAGAGATGCTATCATCTTATTGTCATAATAATGATAATGACAATAATGAGAACTGATAATACGAAAATCACATGATTTTGAGGTAGCGCTTGCCGAAAATGCATTGGAGAAAGCTCGTCAGCCGAGAGTAGGCAAACCAACGCTTCGTGTTCATCCAGGTCCAAGGACCAAAAAGGTCTGGGCAAAAAACATTAAGACCTTAACCAAAAAACACACCAAACTTGTATTGGCAATTGGTTATGCCCGACCAGGACTCCGGCCCGAAATGAAGCAACACCGTCGAAAGATAGAGCAGCACAGCGGACTGCATTTACGAACCTACTCATGACAAACAGCCGTGCATCTTGGTGGCATTCGTCTTTGACCACTTTTGGTCACGTTTTAGTATTGTCTGGCTGATTAGTTCAGTACTGCCGCTGTGGCTGTTCTTGAGCGATGCTTTTTCACACTACCGCTATCACTACCACTACGACGACTGCTCAGATGACGAAGACGATGACGACGAAGACGAAGACGACGACGACGACTACTGCTACTTCTGATCTACTCCACTGACACCACCTACTACTGCTGCTGCCCGCTCCTGCACTCGTACTCCCCTACTCCTACTACTACAAGTACTTACTAGTAAAACTTACTACTTAAGATACTATCATTACTACTTTTACTGCTACTAAGCTGCTACTACTATCACCACCACGACTACGACTGCGACTACCACTACCACGTCACTACCGCGACTACGGCTACTACGGCTACTACGGCTACTACTGCTACTACTGCTACTACTACTGCTACTACTACTACTACTACTACTACTACTACTACTACTACTACTACTACTACTCCCTCCATCCGGGCTGGGCAATTGCAGCTTCTACTCTGCGGAAGATGCCAGGGGTCAAGCTGCGCATCTGTGATAGCTGCAGAACTTGCAAAGGCTCACTTTCCTTACCCGTCACAGCGCGTGAAGTTGCAAAGGCTCCTGACCCCAAAGCTGCGACAGCAGCTGGAGTTGCAAACTCGACGGGGAAGAAACTGCTAAACCACAGGTGGTCGGATGGTACCTGTGAATACCCTGCAAAACGCAGGTTCTGCTCAGAAGGCTTTCACGCTCCTAAATCCGCAACATCCTATGCTGTCTTATACACATCAAAAACGAAGATGCCAGCTGTATGTGGGAGGGGCCCGCCAACACCCCTAAAGCCCAGACCTTGGCGTAAGAGGGCTTGGTGTGTGCGCGCTAGGGTGTGGAGATATGGTTCGGGGTGTCTGCGAAACAGTGTCGTCATCATCCCCCCAAAAACCTCCTCCCACCCAATTTCGAGTTTTCGCCCAACGCCGTCCGAAATCCGAAGCTCGAGTTCGCAAAGTCCAGAAGTACAGTAGATTGGAGACTACACAAGATGGTCCGACATCACGAAAGTACAGTAAATACCAAGTAAAACGGCTGTTTTGTAGCGACTTTGTTCGGGGTGTCTGCGTGACAGCATCGTCTTCCCCCTTCCGAACCGAAGATCGAGTTTGCAAAGTCGACAAGTCGATTTTGAGGCTGCATAAGATGGTCCGACATCACGAAAGTACTGTAAATACCAAGTAAAACGGCTGTTTTGTAGCGACTTTGTTCGGGGTGTCTGCGTGACAGCATCGTCTTCCCCCTTCCGAACCGAAGATCGAGTTTGCAAAGTCGACAAGTCGATTTTGAGGCTGCATAAGATGGTCCGACATCACGAAAGTACTGTAAATACCCACACAAATGGATGTGCTCTTAAGATGATGGTTTAGAGCAAGTGTAGCTGGTAGGGTGACGGGTGCCTCCTACTAAGACTACGACTACGACTAGTACTACTACTACTACTACTACTG